ACCAATGCGGCTACTACAACAATCAGTAGAGTATGACTACCGTGCTTGGGTACTCCGATATAAGAACTCCACTACCATTGTGCCAGTACTATAACATGACTAGTACAATACTGGAGCACCATTACTGCAATACCACTCAGGCAGTACTGTACTACGACTATCACAGTGCCACCACCACAGCATCGCAATACTCGAATATTACAACAGTGCTGCGGTACGGCGGCACTGGAATATTCCTGCTACGGTACTGTAGTCCACCAGCTGCAGGCAATAGTAGAAGACGCTTCTTACGAATGCTGTGCTAGGGTGATGCTTCTACAGTGCAACTACTACAGTAGTACAGCACTGTTCCATAGTATTGCAGCATTATTCCGACAGCACTAGCACTAAAGCACTACAATCCGAGGAGACTACTACTGCACTCGAGTACTACAGTAGTGGTCTGATCTACTACATTCCTGGAGTGCGACTACTAACTCGAGTACTAGAGTCTGACCTTCACTGCAAGACCTGAGTACCACTACTACAACTACAGGGCTAATACAGTGCTACCCCTTCACTGATGCAATACCACTACTACGGCAGTTCTACAATACTGCAGTAGCAAAGCACTACGAGTATTACAACAGTCGGTGCTCAAGCATTGCTACTACAATCCAATAGTATTACTAGCACATACTACTGCACCACTGTTAGAACAGTACTGTAGCAATAGAGGAGGAGGTGGAGGCAGGACGCGGGCCCTTCCCCGTCTCCCCCACCTTTCCTCCCTTTTCCCGCCTGGGTCATGGGGCAACGGGGGAGAAGGGAGGCAATGCAATTCAATCCGGCGCAATGCGATGCAATGCAATGCAGTGTAAACCGATTGTGAGGCCATGCCAATGTAATGCCATTGCACTGAGATGCAACGCGAGATTGCAATGCAACGCAATTGCACTACACTGCCAAGGTGATGCAACGCAAAGCGATTGTAACGCAATGCGAACGCAACGCGATACCACGGCAATGCGATTGCAATGCTGGGGGAGGGTGGGTCCCCCCCCCTCTGTGCTGGTGCTGTTGGGGGGTGAGGGGGAAACGTTTTCTTTCTGCCCCCCCAGACAGCACTAGTAGTGAAGGCGGGAGGGTGCGACCCCTTTTGTTGTGATCACGAACCAGATTCTGCGAGGTCCGCACAATCGAAAGTGTGACCAACGGCACGGCGACACCCCTCCCTCGACGGTACACGCCGACGCCACAGGCCCACCAAGGGCCATACCCGGCAAACCACGAGAAGACGGAGACGATTCGGACCAGAGGTCGAACCAGAAAGAAATCACAAGATCCCTTAAAAATCACAAAATCCCTAAAGAAGAGGAAACACACAAGGAATCACAAAATCTCAAAAAATCACAAGGAATCACAATAAGAGGAAACAAGCAAGAAGAAGTCACAAAATCCCTCAAAACGCAGGGCGGGGCGATCCGACAGTGGAAATTGAGGGCCCCCAGACGGGCCCAGAAGCGACCAAGACGGCCCAAGAGGGTCCCAAGAGGGTCCCGAGACGGCCCCACGAGATGCCCAAAAGGGGCACCACGAAGGGAACCTTCGAGCCTTCCGCCTCATGAGGGCCCCCCCAAGAGGGCCCCAAGAGGCGCCCAAGAGGCGCCCAAGAGGCCCCAAGAGGCTCCCAAGAGGCGCAAAAGAGGCCCCAAGGGGCCCCAAAACGGCCCCCAAGAGGCCCCAAAACGGCCCCCAAAAGAGAGGCCACCCGCGACATCCCAACGAACAACCAAGAGTCCTATGAGCCACACCCAGGCACGGTGGCGGGATGGACCAAAGGCAATTGCATACAAAGATCGCTTTGCCAGGGACGGGGGGGAGCAGAATATTGCCTGCTGTGTGGAGGCCTGCTAAACCTGTCAAGAACAAGTGCAAAGTGATTGCGGGCGCACACCCACACACAACACACAATGCTCGCAAACTCGCGATAAGTTTGCTTTGGTTTTCACAAGGCATGGCAGGGCGGTCGACATGCTGCCCAGTGTGGCGCTTCTGGTGCGCGCGGCGCACCTGGCACGCGCGGCGCACCACACGGGCATTGCACACCTGGCTGGCGTCTGCGATGGTTCCCGATGGTTGTCGATGGCGGCCTCTGCCTGTACTGAGGCTCGAAGTCGAATGATACTTATGTAGTGGGAGGGTGGGCAGGAGTGAGCGATTCTGCTTGCGGCTTGGAGTAGCTTGACCCCTCCCCCATACCCCCTCCCAGGGGTCTGGATGTGAGGGGGACGGAGGTGTTAGGGGTTCCTTTTTCGCTCAAAATGGCTCCAAGCGGGCCTCCGATGATCCAAGACCGGAGAAGGTTCAAGATAGCGTCCGACGTATCTCCAAGAGGCCCCGATATTGCCACAAGACGGTTCCAAGTGCTCTCGCAGCCACACGTGGATCCCCCCAAGACTTCCAAATCCTTCAACCACCTAGGGAAAATCAATGATTTTTGCCTTCTCGCATGTTCGCTTCCGATGGGCCTATGAGGCCTCAAGATGGCTCTAAAATGTCCTAACGATGGGCCCATGAGGCCCCCCAGACAGCCCCAGGAACGCACCAAGAACGCCCCAAGAGGGCCCCAAGAGAGGGTTTCGATTGCTATTGAAGGGATGGGGCTAGATGATAAGGGACCCCCCCTGTGCCTCCAAGATGGCCCCAAGACGCCCTCCAAGCCTCCAAGAGGGGCCCAAGAGGGCACCAGAACCCCGAACGAGCCCCAACGGGGGCCCCAAGGAGGCATCCGGAGAGCACCAAGAGGAACCCAAGAGGGCCTCAAGAAGATCGGCTCTCATCGGCAGCGTTTCTGAATGGACTGATGTGGAGACGCGAAGCGTGAAGTATTGGGTTCGTACTACAATGAAAACAAAAATCTCACCATTCGGCACTGAAGCATCTATCCAGGGAGCTGTGGGACGGAATGTCCGAGACCTCACATCCCTTCCTCCGAGTCTTAGGTGCGCGCTGCGCCAGTCTGGCTGTCTAAACCCCTCCGGCCTTGCGGTTGTAGGTGGCGTACAGCTCGCCCCTGGCGGATAGCCAAGCCCAAACTTGGGCTTCGTCAGCCATGGAATTGCACCCAGAGAAAGACGGCTGCCGTCCTTTTTGTCCGCTCTGCTGCTCCCACTCCTCGCTCTACATCCCCCTCCGCGCCCCTGCCCCTGCTGCCACACAGATCCCGCCTTTGTTCTGGCCCGCTCAGTCCACCTGATCCCACACCAAACAAGGTTTGGGCAAGGAGCCAAGCTTCTGAGGCACAAGTAACGACAGATATACTATGGGCACGAGACGCGGAGTCGATCACAACAAACGTCCTGAAAGCGTACCCTGGCGAACACACATACACACACACACACACGTATATACACACACACACACACACACACACACACACGCGCACGCACGCACGCACGCGCGCACGCGCACGCGCACGCGCACGCGCACGCGCACGCGCACACGCGCACAAACACACATACACACACACACACACACACACACACATACACACACACACACACACACACACACACACACACACACACACACACACACACGCGCGCGCGCGCGCACACGGCAAGTGACCTTCACAAGCATCTAAAAAAACAAGAAGACTGTTGTGCCTCGAAGCCTTCCCAGAGGCTCTTAAACCCTCCTGGACGCGGCAGCCACCGTCGAATACCACCAGGGAGTGCCAGGGACACTCCAGGCCCTCTCAGGCAATCGAAATCTGTCAAAAGGGGCAAGACGTCATGACAACCGTTACTGGTACCTCCACCTTTGGCCCATCGTCAACATGTCATCACGTCTTCAGCTTGCCATGACTAAGCATTGGGGGCACTTGCTAGCTGATAGTCCACTATCATTAATTACATGTCCAAACCATTTTCAAACATTCCAAACGCAAACATTCCACCGCCAAGAAGGGACGATTACTCGGTAGAGTCACACACGTGGCACATCTACCAACGGGTCGGCTGTTCGTGAAGCGTGCGCTTCCTAGTATCACCACAACATTAGATTGCACATGCCTTCGCCAAAGCCATGATATGAGTGCAAATTTAGAAGGAACGCAGTTGGCTTCAAAAAACAACCACTTGCAGATGAGGACGGGTGGCGCCCGTATAGCATTGAGCTCGCCAAACCTCTATCCATCCGCTGCCATGCTAACGCACGCCGTCTCGGCCCTCCTCCCCGTGCCCGTCCCCTTATCCCAGTCGGCCAGTCCCCACACTCGTTTGCGATGAGGGAACTGGGTCCTAGACCCCACAGCCTCCCCCATGACCACCGTTTCCCCCCAAGCGATGCGTTGATGGTCCTGGTGTCTGGGGAGGGCCGGGGAACCCGAAAGCGGCAAAGACAATCCAGGACCCCTTCCGTCCAGGACCCCATGCTCTGATGCTATGCGGTCGCGCCCTCCCCTTTCCTAATGCAGTGAGGGGGGCTCGCCCCAGAGCGAGCTCCAGGAGAAAGTACAGGGACTGCGCTCCTGAAGCATTGTTCAATCGACAGCTGGGGCAATGCAGCAACATATCGCGAAAGGGCTGCGGCCACACACGGCTCTTTGTACTAATACATATATAGGTATGCAGACAAACATCTATAAATCTATGTGTGTATGCGCACATACAGACATACGTATAAATTCAAACACACATACATACATACATCCGTCCGTACATACATGCATGCATGCATGCATGCATACATACGCGTATACGTGTGCACTCATTATCGAACACACCTCTCCGAGGGAGTAAAGCTCAGAGGCGATTCATTGTGAAGCAGTGTTTCTTTTTTGTGCAGTTTCGCTCGGGAGGTCCTCAACTGTTTGGGGGGGCAACCCGCACATCCCTGACGCAGATCGCGACGTCACGGTCCAAACCCACAGCCGTCTTCAGTCATAAAATCACAATGCCTTCAAACACAATGGAATTCACTGAGCCCTTTTTCAACACGATTCGTAAAAAGTCTGTTTCGCCTGAGACATTCCACCAATATCCTACCTCGACGTACACCACGCACACACAAAACAAACACACACAGACTACACACCTACACACAACACACAAGAATACACACAAAGCACACACACACCACAACATACACCTCACACACACACACACACACCACGAAACATCTACAACACGCATAACACACACACACACACACACACACACAAACCCACACACACACACACATTCACACATGCAGGCGCACACAGAAAACACACGCAGGCATTCACACATCGCACACAATACAGCCAACACCAGCAACACATAGACAACGCACACAACACACACGCAACACATAACACGCAGAACACACATGACCCACACATGACTCAAACATAGAACACACGACGCGCACACACCACGCAACAAACATAACACTCGACCTACACACCGCGCACGCACACACACACACACACACATCGTGCATCCGCGCTTGTATGAGCTTTGGCACGCGCGTGCCACTTGGACGTGTACACGCGCGTGTGAATATATATATATATAAATAAATAAACGAATAAATAAATAAATGAATAAATAAATGTAGTGGTGTATGAACGCGGACATGTCTACATGTATACATGCACACGTATGTATTAGACAGGGTGGACCCCGATCAATGCTCTAGCACACTAAATGGTTCAATATACGTGATCAGTCTGGCAGGCACAATATGGGTGTGTAGGCCACGCGGCGCCATCTGTGTTAATACGTGGTGCGATCTACGTTAAGAAATATGTGGTGCGCGCTGCGTGGTACAACCTATGCGGTGCAAGCTATGAGGTGCAGACTACGTGGTGCAAGCGATATGGCGCAACTCACCGTGCCGAAATTGATGTTTTCAGTTCCACTGCTCGTGCAATCATCCCAACTGCCCACCCGCAACTTGGTTTGCAAAACCCATGCGGCAGCGATTGTAATGACTGTTTGGCGCTGGCTGGCGCATCGCTGCGGCCGCGCTAGCGCGCGCAAGCTCGCGCGCAGAGCGGCATGCCAAGTTGGCGCGACCGACGCGGCCGCGATGGCGCTGACCGCCATGGACTTCCCAGCGCGCCTCGGAGGCCGCGCTGGCACGCGGCCACTTCACTGCGAATCGGAATCCCGGGCAGGCGCGGTATCATGGTGACGTCGACAAAGGCTGCCAGGATGATGGAAATAGCGGTGATGGTGGCGATGATGACGATGACAATGGTCAGGTTCCCTCAGGGGCCACGAAACATTCTACTGGGTGGGGGAGACGCATGCGGACTGCGCCACAGGGACTTTCGGTGGAGCCCCCATATGGGGCCACGAAACGTTGTACTGAGCAGCGGAGACGCATACGAACTGCGCCGCTGGGACTTTCGTTGGAGCTCACATAGCGCTGCACTGGGTGGGAGAGACGCATGCGAACTGCACCACTGGAACCTCCGGTGGAGCCCCCCATGGGGCCACGAAGCGCTGTACTGGGGGGGGGGGGGGGCGCATATGAACTGTGCCACTGGGACCTTCGGTGGAGCTCCTCCATGGGGCCACGAAACGCTGCACCGGGTGGGGGAGACGCATGCGAACTGCGCCAGTGCGACCTTCAGTGGGGCCCCCTCCGGGACCACGAAACGCTGTGCTGGGCGGGAGAACGCATGCGAACTGCGCAACTGGGAACTTCGGTGGAGCTCCCTCTGCGGCCACGAAACGCTGTGCTGGGTGAAGGAAACGCATGCGAACTGCGCCACTGGGACCTTCGGTGGAGCTCCCTCTGCCTCCACGAAACGCTGTGCTGGGCGGGGGCGACGGATGTGAACTGCTCCACTGGCACCTTCGGTGGAGCTCTTTATAGGGTCACGAAACGCTGTACTGGGCCTCGGAGACGCATGCGAACTGCGCCACTGGAACCTTCGGTGGGGCTGCTTCTGGGGCCACGAGGCGTGCGAGGGGTGCGCCAAAATGAAGGGGGGGTAACGGGAGGGGAGGAGGGGGAGGAGGAAGGAAGGTGGAACGCGGGGCGCTCTCTTCAAAACAAGGATCCAACACCACAGGATGGTTGGGAAAAACCTGTGGTCGAGCTCTTGCGACTTCTGAAAAAACCACACGTCCACATTTTCATAACATGCGACCAAACGTGACACTCGCGCGAGCATGTCGGAATCACTCGAACGCCGTTCGCGCGCGTGCTGTCACAAGGATCCCATGCAACAACTGGGACGAAGTGCGCGCGTGCGCGACGTCCGCGCTTCCCAAATTATTCCCAACCATCCTGTGGTGTTGGGTCCATGGTTGAAAAGACGGTCCCCGCGTTCCTCTCCTCTCCTCTCCTCTCCTCTCATCTCCTCTCCTCCTCCTCCTCCTCCTCCTCCTCCTCCTCCTCCTCCTCCCCCATCCGCCGTCCTTCCCCTCCTTGCCCATGCTATCCGCATGTCTCTGTTTCGGTACGCCCCTCGCACGTTTCGTGGCCCCATAGGGAACCCCGCCGAAGGCCCCATTGCCACCATCAACATGCGTCCCAAACACCCATTCCAGCTCACCCGCACCACGTGTCGTGTACCCATAGGGAGCTCCACCGAAGGCCCCAGTGCCATCGTCCACATGCGTCCCCACGCCCCTTTTTCGTCACCCCGTCTCACATGTTTCGTGGCCCCATAGGGAGCTCCACCGAAGGCCCCAGTGCCACCGTCCACATGCGCCCTCCCACTCAAGTTCCGGCACACCCGTCACACGTTTTTGTGGCCCCATAAGGAGGAGCTCTACCGAAGGCCCCAGTGTCAGCGTCCACATGCGTCCCCCACACCGATTTCGGCACACCTCTCCCACGCTTCGTGGCCACATAAGGAGCTCCAGCGAAGGCCCACGTGCCACCGTCCACATACGTCCCCCGCACCAATTTCGGCACACCTCTCACACGCTCCGTGGCCACATAAGGAGCTCCACCGAAGGTCCCAAAGTGACACCGTCCACATGGGTCCCCCGTACAAATTTCGGCACACCCCTCACACGTTCCGAGGCCCCACAGGGAGCTCCTCCGAAGGCACCAGCGCCACCGTCCACATGCGTCCCAACACCCATGTCGACACACCCCTCACACCTTTCGTGGCCCCATAAGGAGCCCCACCGAAGGCACCAGCGCGCGTCCCACGCACCCATGTCGGCACACCCCTCACACGTTTCGTGGCCACAAGCAGCTCCACCAAAGGCCCCAATGCCACCGTCCACATGCGTCACCCCCACCAATTCCCGCACACCTCTCACACGCTCCGTGGCCCCATGGAGAGCTCCACCGAAAGCCCCAGTGCCACCGCCCACATGCGCCCCCCACACCTATTTCGGCACACCCCTCACACGTTGCGTGGCCCCATAAGGAGCTCTACCGATGGCCCCAGTGCCATCGTCCACTTGCGTCCCCCACACCCATGTCGGCACACCCCATTACACGTTGCGTGGCCCCATAGGGAGTTCCACCGAAGGTTCCAGTGCCACCGCCGGCATGCGTCCCCCATACCCATTCTGGCACACCCCTCACACGCTTCGTGGCCCCATAGGAAGCTCCACCGAAGGTCCCAGCGTTACCGTCCACATGCGTCCGCCGCACCCATGTCGGCACACCCCTTAGGGTTCGTTACCCAATAGGGAGAAAATGATATTCGCAGTTGCAGCGCTTACGCACAACTGCATATGGTTGGGGCCTTCGCCAGGCTAATTCAAAAACGTGTGGCTTCCATAGAGATTTCACAACCGACTGCTCCGAAAACCTATAAAACAATGGCTTCGCAACAATAGACACCAAAAAGCCTGCGTTCGGGCTCTTGCGAGCAATTAGCTGACCATAAGCTTCAACATGTTCGTCACACGCTAACAAACGTGCAACATGCCGAAATCACTCGAACGCCCTTTGCATGCGCGCTGGGGGGGGGGGGGGGCACGACCTGTTGTCAAATATTACCATGCGGGCCACTCGCGCGCGTCGACCACGCGCGCATGGCGGCATCTTTACAAAACCTTCATGACCGACGCGACGACACCATCATCGTCATCGGCGTGATCAGCATCGGCGCCATCGTTGCCCTTGCCGTCGTCGTTGTCACCATCGCCACCAGCATCGCTACTATCATCATCGTGTCTGACGTTGTCGACGCCACCATGATATCGCGCATGCCCGCGTCACAGACTCGCACTGATATGCCCGTGCGTTAGCACGGCCTGCGAAACAGACGCGCTGGAAGTTCCCAGCGGTCATCGCGTCAGCGCCACCGCGGCCGCGTCGGTCGCGCAAGAGTAACTGGCCGCTCTGCGCGCTAGACTGCGCGCGCGCTAGCTCGGCCGCAGCGATGCACCAGCCAGCGCCAAGCAGCCATCGCAATCGCGGCTGCATGGGTTTTGCAAACCAAGTTGCTGGTGGTCTGAGGGATGATTGCGTGAGCATCGGAGGTGGTCCCGCGCGAGGAAGTCAAAGTAAAGTGAACCACATAGACTGACCGCATACATTACACAGCATATTTAAAACCACAGATGTTGCACAACATAGTTTGCAAGAAAGACACTGATACATACATTTATATGTGTACACATGTGTATACATATACATGTCTACACAAATATGTGCGTGTAACTGCAATGGCGTTTCGCGCCATGCCCCTTGGCCCTTGAAGTTTGGCATGCAGAGTCTCTGGGTGCCTCACGGCAGTTCTTCAGGCTTTCTTCAGGCTTTCTTCAGGCCTTGTGGAGGCCTCCTGTGTGTTTTCTAAGGGCCTCTGGGGGCTTCGTCGGGCCACCCTGATCGACTGGGTCACGACTTGGAATGCTTCGGAGGGTGTCTTGGTGCCACCTTGGGCCGTCATGGGGCTCTCTTAGACCATCTTGGAACTCTGTTGCGCCGTCTTGGGGCTCTCTTGGACTGCCTGGAAGCCCTTTCGGATTGTTTTGGGGCGACTTTCGAACCTCCCAAGCAATTTCGGACGCCCGGAAGACCGAAGAACAGGACATTCCCAAAATCAGATAAAAACCTTGGAAAATCAATGTTTTCCCGCGTTTTGGAAGCCTCTTGGGGGTCTTCTTGGGGTTGTCTTCGGGCGTCTGGTGGGTGTCTGGGGCCTCTTGGGGGCCGCAGGGGCGCGTTCGGCCGCCCTCCTGACCGACTTGGGCCCGCTGCCTACGCCCAGCAAGAGCTTCCAGGAGCTCTGAAATGCCTGGGGGGCCTCCTGCAGGGGCGCCCAGGGCGTCCCCAGGGCCACGGATCTGGGGGGTCCAGAAGGTCCCTGGGGCCGGGGATTCGGGGGGTCCGGTTTTGGGTGGGGGGGGGTACTGGGTAATAAAATTAAAGGAATGGGAATATACATATCTATCTATCTATCTATCTATCTATCTATCTATCTATCTATCGATATATATCTATCTATATATCTATATATCTATCTATATATCTATATATCTATGTATATATCTATCTATATATCTATCTATCTATCTATCTATATATCTATATATCTATATATCTATCTATCTATCTATCTATATATCTATCTATCTATCTATCTATCTATATATATATATATCTATATCTATATAGATATCTATCTATCTATATATATATCTATCTACATATATATATATGCAAATGCCTATGTGTATATACCAATACTACAACCACGCGGGCGCGTGTCGCGCGCGCTTTGGTTGGATGATGTCCGTAAGGGGGGGGGCAGCGAGTCGCGTGGCATGTCTGGACCTGGGCACGAATTGATTGTGGAGTTGACCGGTCCCCCAAACAGTTATAGAACTGAGGGGTTCTAGCTGCTGTTCCAGAGGAGTCGAGATTTCTTCACGTCGAGAGGAGGAGGGGGAGGAGGGGGAGGAGGAGGAGGAGGAGGAGGAGGAGGAGGAGGAGTTGGATTGGTCCGTCGAGATATTTCTTCCCGTCGTCGCCTGTGGGCGCCTCGTGGGCGCCCCGTGCGCTGGGCGGGTCCGCCGAGGTTTCGCCGCGCTGCCGCCCGTGGGCGCTTCTGGGGCGCCCCGCTCTCTTTGGCACTCGCCCTTTTTCTGCTTCCTCGCAGGCACCAGCACTCACCAGCGCGCCTGAAGTAACTACCTACCAGACCACCCCAACCCAACCCGAAGACCCGAATTTCGGGTTGGGGGGGGTATGGGCTCCACATGTGTTTTTTCGATGTTCCCGGAACCCCCCCCACTAGGAATCGAGGGTAAATCTGACCCTTCGGGTTGGGTTGGGGTGGTTTGGTGGGTGGTGATGAAGGGCATATCGAAAGATGTATGCCCAAGGCGCACCAACAAACCTGGAAACATTGTATGCTTCAGGTGATCCCAACCGCGTCGGGAGAAGGAGAGGAGGGGGAACGGAAAGACGAAGATGCAGACTGTACAAGATACGAATCAGAACCTGCATCCGCCAAGCACATCGGCCATGGTCATGCACGCAATGTATGGGCTTCAACAGAAGCGCTGACTGAGGCTGACCGGCTTGACACGTATCTGAATCGCCTCTGAAGAATCTGGGCAAAGACTTGATCGTGCGACAAGGTGACCCGAGTTCGACCAACATTGCCCAGACCGAAGCCCTGCGCAAAAGACAGCACCCTCGAGCCCGCCTCGGGCGCACGACCCGAAGCAAGCAGGTACCGACCTCTGGCACCGCTCGTGTCGAAAACGAAGGGTGCCGGAGGCTGGCACCTCGAGCACGCTCCCACCCCGCGTGTTGGCAGCGATGCGCAGACCCCGCTCTCGCGCACGCCCCCTGGACCGACGAGAGCTTCTCGTCGGGAGACGACGTCGAGGAGGGCGGGGTGCCCAGGCAGAGCAGAGTTGCGAGGCCGGGGGTGGGGAGAAGCAGCGCGGAGGGCAGGACGCACGAAGCGCAGAGGCGAAAGGACAAGCAAGGAAAGAGAGCAGAGGGAAGAGGAAGCAAGGGGTAGGAGGCGCCATCGGGGGGCTGGGAAGGACGAGGGAGCAATGGAAACGGGGAGGACAGAAGAGGCTGGGCAGCGGCAGGAGGGGGCTTCCTCAACCGAAGACCAACGACCTGGAGGAGGCAGAAGGAATAGCAGGAAGGAGTCCGTTGTATGTCTCGTAGAGCTTGATGATGAAGGGCGAGTTCGTCATTACCAAGATGTTCTTCTCGTTCATCACGCTGTCCTGCACGGGCCGCGCACATCTGGGGCAGGCAACCCTTGCCCCATTCTGCCTCGTTCTGCCCCCGTCTGTCCCCGATTGTCCTTTCAGAAAACGGCGATGCGACCGTGGTGATGGAAAGCGGAGCGTCCTGGATGCAGGCGGTGCCATTTGCGGAAGCTGCAGGGTGGTCGCAGCTGGCCAGAACAAGCGGGGGGGGGATCAGGGCACCCTGACGCCTCCTGCTGAGACTACTGCTGCCAATGCTACCACTACTACTACTACTACTACTACTACTACTACTACTACTACTACTACTACTACTACTACTACTACTACTACTGCGGCTACTACTACTACTACTACTACTAC